ATGATGCATAAGCAGCTTATACAAATCAATAAATCAAGGGAAACTGCCAGTAGGACTAACTGAACTGGGATCTCCAAAACCAGACTATGCTGCTCCTAATCTGGCAGGTGATCCACTGAAGAAACTGTAAAAACAATTTTTCTTTGACCTAAAGATTGCATTAAATATCTATTTTGAAATATTTTTCCTCGTGGTTTTTTTTTTACATTTTTTTTCTTCTATGACATCATGCAGCAGCAGCCCTAGAAAATGGGCTGTTTGGCAGAAGGCAGCCACAGTGCCCTCTGGCTTTACCATGCAAAGCCATGCCTCATTTTGACTGCCCCAAAGGAGGACAAAACCAGCAGTGAGAACCTCTGATTTTAGGTGATTTTTCCTAAGAAAGATTTAACTAGAAACAACCTATTTCTCCTACTATTAGAAACACAGAATTTCCAGAATCCACTCTGGGAAGACCTTAAATGCATTTGTCATTAGAAAAAGGTACACGTTCTACTTTGAGGAGGCAAACTATGTCCAGGTTTTAGTTTTAAGATTCCCAAGTTATTCCACTTTACCTTGGATTATGCAAATTTCTGTCTTAGTGTTTCTTTTTTTTGTTGTTGTTGTTTTTGGTTTTTTGAGACAGGGTTTCTCTGTGGCTTTGGAGGCTGTCCTGGAACTCGCTGTGTAGACCAGGCTGGCCTCGAACTCACAGAGATCCGCCTGCCTCCTCTTCCCGAGTGCTGGGATTAAAGGTGTGCGCCACCAACGCCCAGCTTTGTCTCAGTGTTTCAAAAGCACTAATACCTTACTATTTGTGGTCTTGGAATGATAGAATTAACATAAAACTATCAACTTTCTAGACTGAAACAGACTATTGTTCTTCTAGCAGAGAGGACGCTGAGTTGCCTATAGTAACAGTGTTGTGATGACAAATGATCCTCCACCCGCCACACACCCCAGCCGTTCATGCAAGTTTTTTGCCAAACATTTTAACAGCTGCTCAGAGGACCTGGCTTACAAGTGAGCAATTTCAGTCTGTTCCCCTTCTTGTACTGTGGCTATCAGTGAGAGGAAATTGCTTCCCAGACTGACAGGTAGAACTTTTCTTCGGCCAGTCAAAAACATAAGAGACTAAGGTAGGATCCTTTCGGTTTCAGAGTTTTAGAGGACAGACCTAGGGAGTTCAAGGTTGATTAAGGTCCGAAAATAGATTTTCTCTTAAATAATGGCCTGGGAATGTAGTTCAGTTGACACAGTGGTTCCCTATCCTGTACATAGTCATGGGTTTGATAATCCAGGCATGTACTTAGGCCTGTAATCCTACCATTCAGGAAGTAGCAACAGGAGAATCAGAAGGTCAAAGTCACTGTCCTCTACATAGCAAGTTCTAGGCCAGCCTGAGCTGGCTATGTGAGACTGTCTCAAAATACTAAAAGGGGGAAGGAGGAGGGGACATAACTAAACTGCTTGTCATGAAAGCTTGAAAACCAGCCAGGCGTTGGTGGTGCACGTCTTTAATCCCAGCACTTGGGAGGCAGAGGCAGGGACTCTATGAGTTTGAGGCCAGCCTGGTCTACAAGAGCTAGTTCCAGGACAGCCTCCAAAGCCACAGAGAAATCCTGCCTCAAAAAAAGAAAAGAGAAGTCTATTCCCTGAATCCACATACAAAAGCCAGGTGTGGGGCTGCTGAATACTCAGTTTAGCATAATAGGTGAGCCCCAGGTTTCAGGGAAAGGAACCTGGCCATGGTGACACATGCCTATAATCCCAGCACTCAGGAGGCAGAGGCAGATGAATCTCTGTGAGTTTGAGGTCAGCCTGCTCTACAGAGTTCAAGGACAGCCAGAAAGAGAAACCCTGTCTCAAAAAAAAAAAAAAAAAAGAAAGAAAGAAAGAAAGAAAGAAAGAAAGAAAGAAAGAAAGAAAGAAAGAAGATAGGAACAGGTAAAATGTAAATGTGATGCACAGGGGGCTGGCATGGAGGTCAGGAGTGTTGGTTGAGGACAGGCTGTCAACACCACAAACGGCTCACAGCCATCGTTACTCCAGTCCAGTGGCTGATGCCTTCTTCTGACATCATGGAGAAAGTGCATGTGGTACACATACATTCAGGCAAAACACTCAACACACATGAAACATCTTTCAAAAAGCACTATACACAAACAAGCTATTCCATTAGGTGTGGTGATAAACACCTGTAACCCCAGGATGTAAAAGCTGGGCAAACAGGAATTAAAGGTCATCCTTGGCTACATAGAAAGCTGAAGATCAGCCCAGATAACAGGAGCCCCTGTCTCTAAACACACTGAAACAAAAAGTTCCTATAGGTGTGATGATTGTTATTGTCTCAACAAGGGCATATTTGACTTTTTACCCTGAATAAAATTCCTTTGCTTGGAGAAAATCTGAATAAATATACTTTAAAGCCAGGTGTAATTTGGACATCTACAGTCCCAACACGTGGAAAATAGAAGAGTTTGAAGCCAGATGAGCTGCACGGTAGAAGCTTATCTCCCCAAACCATGGCTCTGTGATGTGGATGAGTGACAGAGCAGTTAGCACTTGACTAGCACACACAAGGCTGGGTCAATACTCAGCATCATCAAAAAGCAATCCACATTTTACCCTAATGACTTCAAAGTTAGAGAAACTGTGTTGGGTGTAGCTCAGTGGCAGAGTACTTACTTGCCTAGCCAGCACAAGGACTCTGGTTTTGATCCCCAGGTCTGGTTGGGGACACAAGAGGCAGAGAAACAAAAACATTCCACAGAACCTAAAAACAAAACAACCCTACAACCTAATAGTGTACCTTCAGACAAGGGGTCAACACTCCAGCACAAAGGGGAAGAGGGATCACAACCCCCACCCCGCAGCTGCAGAGTTGATGACCAATGGCTTCTGGAAGAGGGAGAATTGTTACTTTTGTTTGTTTGTCTAAGGATGTGACCCCTAGCAGGCTCAGCACGCTCCAATGGACCACCCCACACTCATAAATATATGGGAAATACAAACTGGAATCAGTGGGCCACAATAAATAAATAATAAATAATAAAAATTGGAAGGTGGTGTGAGTAGACTTGGGAGGAGCTAAAAGGGAGACCGATCAAATTACAACACTGAATGCATGTATGACATTAATAAAAATATTATCTTTTAAAAATTTTTATCAAAGGATGGCTATATAAAACAAAACATTAATTCCAGCACTCTGTAATCCAGAGTAGAGGCAGCAAGATGTCTCTGAGTTCAAGACCAGCCTGGTCTACATAATAAAACCTTGTGTTTAAAAACAAAAACCCAGGCCAGGCAGCAGAGTCAGACAGATATCAATGAATTCAAGACCAGCCAGGTCTACAAAGCAAATTCCAGGACAGCCAAGGTTACACAGAGAGACCCTGTCTCAAAAATCAAACAAAAACCAAAACAGAACTTTAGGTAATTCTAAACATCTAATATTACCCTAACATTAGACACGCTTAATATCTGACAATTAATATTCACAATGTGGTCAAAAACTGGCTATAATTGATAAAGTGCTTATACAGAGGCCCTGAAGCACACTTGAATTTGTGGATTTTTATCACTATTGTGAGACTTGGTCTCACTCTACACCCAGGTTGATCTGATGCTACAAGTCCAGGACAATTCTATCTCAGCCTTCTGAATGCTGAGATTACAGGCATGATCCAGTATACGTGACACTGTTTTTTCAAAGGGAGTTAACTTTGCACATTAACACACCATGATTGCAATAAAAATTCCACGTTACTCTCACACAAAATATAAATAGCTGTTGTGTAAGAAATAAAAAGTAATGTAATATTTTATTTTTAAAATATTTTTATGTGTATGTGTGCCTTTATGTATGTAAGTGCACTGCACGAATGCCTGGTGTCAAAAAGTCAAAAGAAAGCCAGGTGTTGGTGGCGCACGACTTTAATCCCAGCACTCGGGAGGCAGAGGCAGGAGGATCTCTGTGAGTTCGAGACCAACTTGGTCTACAGAGAGAGTTCCAGGACAGCCTCCAAAACAATACAGAGAAACCCTGTCTCGGAAAACAAAAAAAGAGAAGAGAGCATCACATCCCGATTACATACACGTAAGGTTGTAGCTGCCATGTGGGTACTGGGAACTAAATCCAGGTACCCAGCAAGAGCAGCAAGTTCCAGTAAGCACTCACCCACCTCTCCAGGCCTTATATTTGTATGTGCGAAGGTACGCCACACCCTTTAGTGATGGTAAGAGGACAACTTGCAGATTCCAGGTGTCTTCTCCTACTACCATATAAATCCTGAGGATCCAATTTAGGTCATCAGGCTTGTTGGTAGCCACTTTTAATGAAAGCCACTGAACTATCTCACTGGACCCTAATATTTAATTTTGAGAGTCTTGCTACATAGCCCAAACTTGCAACTCCCCTGCCTTAGACTCCTGAACTCTGGAATAAGAGGTTTGTTCCACCACACTCAGAAATATTCTCAAATTTAATCCTATTTGTTTTTGAGAGGGGTCTTGCTATGTAGCCCTTGCTGGCCTAAACAACTCACTATGTAGACCAGACTATGCTTGACTTTGAAGTGATTCACCTGTTTGTCTTCAGAGTGCTGGGATTACTGGCACCAGCACACACAGCTCTTCATTGATTTACTTTATTGTGACCAGGTCTCATTATGTTGTTCAGGCTGGTTTCAATTCCTAGGTTCTAGCCATCTCCTACTTCAGCCTCCCCAGCAGCTGGCATACATCACACTTGGCTCAGAAAAGCTTTTTTGCTTTGTTTTTTGGTGACAGGGTTTCTCCATGTGGCTCTGGCTGTCCTGGAACTTGCTCTATAGACCAGGCTGGCCTGGAACAAGAAGAGATCCTCCTGCCTCTACCTCCTGAATGTTGGTTTTCTTTTTCCTGTCTTCTTCCTTGAGACAGGATCTTACTATGTAGCCCTGGCTGCCCTGAAACTTGATCTGTACACCAGGCTGGGCTGGAACTCACAGAAGTTCACGTGTTGGGATTAAAGGTGTGCAGCACTTTGGGTTCTTATTGAAAAAAAAAAGACTGTTTTATACAGTTCTTATAAATCTCTCAAGAGCTGGGGTTTTAGTTGAGTATGTAGAACATGCAGGAGTTCTTGGGTTCAGTTCCCACCATCTCCCCAGCAACCTGCAAACAGAGCATGGTGAATGCCTTTAATTTCAGTGCTTGGAATTGTAGGTGGAGGCAATTCTGGAGTTCAAGGTCATTCTCAATTACCTCCTGAATTTGAAGCCATCCTGGTCTACACTAGACTGTCTCAGAAAAACAAAACTACTTACTTTTTCTTGAGTTTTACTTCTAAAGAGGAGATTCAATTATGAAAAATTATCTAACAACATGGACAGTAACTCTAGTTCTACAACAAACCTTTACATGTCAACAAAACTCAAAAGGCTGAGCTGCTACAGGAACCTGAGAGTAAGTCTTGAACAATCTAGTGTGATCTGATACCTAAAAGTAGTACTAATGGTTTTAAATTTTATTTTAAGAGTCCTCACTGCACTGAACAAGAACAAGATGGTACATACCATTTATTCCAGCAGGCAGGTGTATAGCTATAAGTTCCAGCCCAGCCTCATCTACTACCAAGGACCAGGACAGCCAGGGTTATACAGAGAGACTGTTTCAAAATAACAGAGTTTCACTGTTACATGGGCTGCCTATAATTTGCTGTGTAGCTCAGGCTAGCACTGAATTCTCAGCAATCCTCCTGCTTCAAGCCTTTTAAGTGTTGTGATTACAAACCACACCTACCTTAAACATTTTTTTCAAGAATAGCAAAATTTCACGGTTTGGGGAGAGGGTTCAGTAGGTAAAATGGGTGATCCCCAAACATGAGGGCCTTTCACTCTGGTCAATCAGGGAGCTCTGGGTTCAATGGGACCCTCCTGAAAAGATAAGGTGGAAAGCAAAAGAGAAAGATCCTAACTTTTATGGCCTCTGCAAGCATATGCGCACCTGCACACACATGCATATATTAAACACATACACAAGTAAACATTTAGAAGGGAATTTTACAGCTGTCTGATACTACACCTAGCCTCTATCCCTTTTTTGTTTTGAGACAGGGTCTCACTATGTAGCTTTGACTAGCTTGGAACTCAAGATGTAGACCAAGTTGGCCTTGAATTCTTAGAAATGCTTGGCTCTGACTCTTGAGTGCTGGGACTAAAGGTATGTTCCACCAAGCCCATCTCTGTATTTTTGAGAATTTAATTTATATGAGTGTTTTACCTGCACTTATGTGTATGCAGCATGTGATGCCTGGTGCCTGAGGAGGCCAAGAGTGTGTTGGATCATCTGGTACTGGAGTCACACACACTTTTGAGTTATCATATGGATTCTAAGAACTGAACCTGAGTCCTCTGCAAGAGCAGAAAGTGCTCTTAATCACTACATCATCTCTCCAGCACATATAAACTGCTACTGAGGCAGGCGGATCCCTGTGAGTTCAAGACCAGCCTGGTCTATAAGAGCTAGTTCCAGGACAGCCTCCAAAGCCACAGAGAAACCCTGTCTCAAAAAAAAAAAAAAAACAAACAAACAAACAAAAAACAAAACTGCTACTGATCTGCAGTGAATAAAAACTACATTCCTGAATCCCAGTCACTTGGAAGAGGCAGGCAAATCTGTGTGATATCCATGCCAGATAGGGATACATTGTGAGACCATCTTAAAACCAAAATCATGCCAGGAATGGTAAATAGCACATGGCACTAAGGAGACAGAGGCAGGTGGATTTCTGTGAATTTGAGGCCAGCCTGATTTGCATAATTAATTCCAGAACAGCCATAGCTACATAGTAAAACTCTGTCTTGAGAAAAAAAATAATAAAAGGCAAAACCAAACCAAACAAACAACTCTTTTTTTTTGGTTTTCGAGACAGGGTTTCTCTGTATTGTCTTGGAAGTTGTCCTGGAACTCGCTTTGTAGACCAGGCTGGCCTCGAACTCACAGAGATCCACCTGCCTCTGCCTCCCAAGTGCTGGGATTAAAGGCCTCCAATGCCCAGCCAAACAACTCTTTTACAATGAAAAAACAAGAATTTTGGGGTACTTCATATATAAGAATAGGAAATTATCAACATCTCCCTAGTAAGCTAATTAACAGAAGTTTCTCTAGCCTCTAGCAGGTTATAAGAAGAAATTACTGGAGTTCTGAAGCTTACTTTAAGATTTTATCTATTTATTTATTTTGATTTTTAAAGACAGGGTTTCTCTGTAGCTTTGGAGCCTGTTCTGAAATTTGCTTTGTAGACCAAGCTGGCCTCAAACTCAGAGATCCACCTGTCTCAGATTTTATTATTTTTAATGTGTGTGTGTATCTGTGTGTAAGAGTGTGTAAACATGAGCACAAAGGGTCTTAGGGGCCAGAGGTGTTGGGGTCCCTGGAAGTGGAATGACAAGCAGTTGTAAGCCACCTGATATGGGTGCTAGGAATTGAACTTGGGCCCCCCTCTTCACCCTGAGGCCACCTCTTCAGTCTCTGGAGGCTACTTTAAACATGTAATTCTGCATATCTGGATAATGCCAATGCAACTTTCAGGCAAAAGCAAAATATCAATTTAGGACTGGGAGGGATGTCTTCCTCTTAGTTCTTAATAAATGTACATTCAGCCTAATAACATTCAAACAATCTGAAAAGAGAAAAAAAAAACAAACCACATGGTGGTACACATCTAACTCCAGCACTCAGGAAGCTAAGGCAAAAATTGAGACTTCAATGGGGGCTGGAGAGATGGCTCAGAGGTTAAGAACACTGGGTGCTCTTCCAGAGGTACTGAGTTCAATTCCCAGCAACCACATGGTGGCTTACAACCATCTATAATGGGATTTGGTGCCCTCTTCTGGTGCGCAGGCATACATGCAGAGAGAACACTATATACATAATGAATGAATCTTAAAAAAAAAAAAAAAAGAATTGAGACTTCAAGTCCAGCCTAGCTACATATTAAGTTCATAACCAGTATACTGGTCTACACACTGAATCCCAAGACAACCTTAAATTAAATATTTCTGAAGCAATCTTCTTAAGTATCGGTAACAAGGAGTAACTTCGAAATTGGAGACACATTTCCACTTCTGCCTATGAATCTTATTACAGACTAGTCTCCAGGAGTTGGCCCATCAGGTGAATAAAAAGGACCGAGTACTTTATAGTGACAGCTTCTCTGGTACCACGAGACACTGACCCTGCTCAGTCTCCTTGGATGGCCTCTCTGAGTGTGCCACAGCCATGCACTGGCAAGGCAGGTCTTATGTATGCACTCACTTTTGGTGGGGAGGGGATGGACAGGGGCTCGTGTGCCCCAGGTAAGCACTGTACCTCAGAGCTTCTGAAGAAGCTCTTTGTGAAGTGGAAAGGCAAGTCTACAGGTACAGAAGAGCAATCTCTCTAGCAGCACCTGCCTGGGAAGGAGTGTTTTGCCATTTGGAACTAGGAGCCTGGGCACTTAGGACTGTCATGAGCCACTATGCCTCACCTCGATGTATCTAAGATTTTTTTTTTTTTTTTTTGGTTTTACGAGACAGGGCTTCTCTGTTTTGGAGGCTGTCGGTCCAGCCTGGCCTCGAACTCGCAGAGATCCGCCTGCCTCTGCCTCCCGAGTGCTGGGATTAAAGGCGTGCGCCACCAACGCCCGGCCTTCTAAGATTTTTTTGTATTCATTTTGTTTATGTGTATGGGAATGTGAATACACACGCACATGGCAGCCAGAGGGCAACCTTTGGTGCCATCTCCCACAGACACTTACTTGAGACAAGGTCTCTTATTGGTCTGTAACTAGCCAAGTACACTTAGTTTTACCTGGTCAGTAAACCCCAGGGATCCTGCTTCTCTGCCTCCCTAACATTCCCCTGCCAAGAGGGTTTCTCTGTGTAGCCATGGCTCTTTCAGAACTTGCTTTGTAGACCAGGCTAACATAGAACTTGAAATCAGCCTGCCTCTTCCTCCCAAGTGCTGGGATTAAAGAAATAGGCCATCACACCTGGCATTTTGCGCTTTTGCCTGAGTGGTTACTTGCATGATGTATGTGTACCACATGCATGCCTGGTACCCACAGGTGTCAGAAAAGGGCACTGAACTGGAACGCTGGTCCATTACAAGAGCAGTAGTGCTCTTAACTACTGAGCATTGCTCTAGGACCCTAGCTACTTTCTTTTTAAACTTGAGTTCTGGGGCCTGAACTCAGGTCTGAGTTGCTTCTCCCTCCCACTGTTTGCTTTTTAACATAGGGTTTCACTGTAGCTCAGATTGGTGTCCAATATGAGAATCCACCTAACCCAGGCTCCTGAGTATAAGGATTTCAGGTAGGAGCCACCACACCCGGCTATTCCCAACTATTTAAAATCAAGTAAGGGAAAAGCTCATGTGTCATCCTAAAGTATGGTTAAGCCTTCATCTATACTGAGTAATACGTTTCTGCACCTGGTATAGTATTGGCATTTAGTAGCAGCCAAGGTTTAACTAGATTGCTTCACAATGGAGGATGAATCATAGGAGTCTAGGGTCCTTCTCCTCCAATAAATTCTTGACAAAAAAAACCCCACAAAGATAACCCGAAGCCCCCTTTCAACTCCTATGACTATTTAACTTGACTGCTACCAAGTAAATGTCATCTTTTCCTAACTCATTTCCCACTCCCACTCTCCATTTCTGTGCATGCTAAACAAGTGCTCTTCCACTGAATTAGTCACATTTTTTTCTTTTTTGGGTTTTCAAGACAGGGTTTCTCCGTGTTAACAGCCTTAGCTATCCTGGAACTCACTCTGAAGACCAGGCTGGCCTCGAACTCAGAAAGCTGCCTGCCTCTGCCTCCCAAGTGCTGAAATTAAAGGCTTCCTTCCTTCCCTCCTTTTTTTGAGACAGTCTTAATCTGTAGCCAAGGTTAGCCTCTAATTTGTGGGCAATCCTCCTGCCTCTGCATCTCAAGTGCTAGGATTAGCATGAGCCCACAATACAAGGCTCTTCATCTTTTCTTGATCAAGGTAAAGTAAACACAACAAATGAAATTACAGATGAACAGTGCACTGATGCTTCAGTTAGAAGTACTTAAACTAGCCGGGCGGTGGTGGCACATGCCTTTAATCCCAGCACTCGGGAGGCAGAGGCAGGTGGATCTCTGTGAGTTGAAGGCCAGCCTGGTCTACAAGATCGAGTTCCAGGACAGCCTCCAAAACAATACAGAGAAATCCTGTCTCAAAAAACAACAACAACAACAAACAACAACAACAACAACAAAAAAAGTACTTAAACCAGCTGTTTAACTACTGGGCTGACACCTGGAGCCCTAACTAAGGCAAGTGGGCTGCTATGAATTCATGGCTACTCTGGTAAGTCTATGAAATTAGTTCTAGGTCATCAGGACTACAGAGCAAGGCCATATCTCAAAAAAAAAAATGCAGTTCACATTTTAAATTAAGAGCTCTAATGGGGCTGGAGCTAAAGCTCAGTTGGTAGTACGAGTGCCTAGAGTGCACAAAGCTCTGGGGTCAATCCCGGTACCGCCCAAATGGTACAGGATGGTGCACTCCTCTAATTACAGCACTCAGTGCGGACAAGACCACCAGGAGTTCAAAGGTCATGCTTTGGCTACAGCGCTCAAGGCCAGCAAGAGCTACAGGCGACCCTGTCTTTAATTTATCAATGAATCTTAGTCATGACTGAATGCAGTGCTATACAGCTGAGAACACTTGAGGGGCTCAAGCAGATAGCTCCAGGCTGGCTTGGGCTAAATAGAGAGACCCTGTCTCAAAAAAGCAAGCAAACAACAATAATAACAAAAACCTAAACACTCATTAGGAGGACAGCCAGATGGCTCACTTTTTAAAGGCACTTGCTGCAAACCTCACATCAGGAATCCCCACCCTGGGAACCCAGATGATCAAAAACTGACTCTCACAGATTCTGACATCCGCATGTGCGCATGTACGCACACAAAGTAAGTAAATAATATTGGGTGTGGCAGTACATGCCTATAATCCCAGAACTTGGGAAGTAGAGGAAGGAAGTTCAAGGCCAGCCTAAACTATACAAGGAGTTCAGGGTCAGTCTAGGCTATCTGAAACCGATTCAAAAGTACAAGGAGAAAAACAAGCTGGCATAGTAACTCACACCTGCTGCAATTCCAGGTTGAGGCAGGACTATCCTGAATTTGAGTTCAGCCTGGGCTAGATTAAGACATCTCAGAAAACCAAAAGAATCCCAGCCGGTGGTGATCAAGTGGGCTTGTTTTTGTTTGTAGGATTTTAAGATTTTTTTTTTCAAAGCATCTGAGGGATGTAGGGAGAAATTACTTAGAACTATGATGTCATCACATAATTTAAGATTGTTTCATTTTGATGAGTCTCATTATGTAGCTTTGGCTGGCCTGGAACTTTCTATGTAGACCAGGCTGGCCTCGAATTCTTAGGAGACCCACCACACCCAGTTAGAAAGACTTTTATTAATACAAGGAGCAGTCCTTCAACGCTGAGGCAACTTTTATGGGTCCTATACAGTTAAAGCAAAAGCCTAGGAATTAGACCATCTATAACTAGCAGTAAATTCATTATAAGGTACCCACGGATACCTATGGCTAGTTAACGACCTACTCCAGAGCCTACCTGGACACCATTTTAACTGACAGCTGAGCTACAAAGGTATCATTTGAAGGTATAGCCTGGAAATCTCTAGGGAACAAGATGATTAATCTACAATTCAGTAAGAGAACATCACGTCAAACGCCAGCCTTTTAAATGCTGGCACTGCTATAGTTTTAAGTTGTAAGTTTATTCTTTCAAAGAATGTCTCCCCTAAAGCCCACATACATGAACTAGATCAAAGCCGCCATTTCTGCTTAAGTACCTTCCACGTTCTACGGAAGAAATGGCTCTAGTAACGATGGGACACTGGCCCAGAAAATACTCTTTAGTTTGGGGAACAAGACTTTAAACGGGACATTGTGTAGGCTTACAATGATCACATTGGAATAGCTCGCTTTTCCCTTGTAGCAAAGCCATTTCACCCCTAAGTTTACGGCTCCGATTTCAAAACGCAAACAGATGTTTTTGAAGCATCCGAAATGGGCCACTCCATTTCTATTACTGTACCATGGTGACTGAATTATTTTCTGCTCCGACCCTGCAAAGGGCAGAACCCCATCCCTTTGTCGTAAAATTTCGAAGTGGGGCAGCACACTTTAGGAGTTTCCATAAGTGGCTGGTGACGTTCGAGGTCAGGGCATTGGTGGGAGTCGGGGCTCGACAGGAGCAATCTTGAGGGCAAGAGAGCTCAGAGATTTCCAAGCACTGCGCTCGAGCTTTCCACGTGCCCGATCTAGTCGGTCCCAGGGGAGTTGGTGGTTGCTATAGTAGTTACAGGGCTGTTGCTTTCCGCAGCCCCGAGAGGTGGGATGGACTTGGGTGTATGGGGGTGGGGAGAGGTGGGTGCAATCCGGCTGGGCGCCCTCTGAGCCGCCAGCTGACTAGCACCGCTGAAGGCATGAGGCTAGGGCTGCAACCTCGGCCCGTCCCCGCGAGCCAGCGTCTCCAACTGGCGTCGCGCCCACCTCGTCCTTCAGATGGCGGTCAGCTACGCCGGGCCGCGCCGCCATGCCCAGAATGGGGGTGGGGAGAGGCCTTGGCAGAGCCTGGCCTTAGGATCCGCGTCCCGGTGGAAGCACAGCAAAGGGGAAACCGTGTTACTGGCCTCTCCTCTGTTGGGGTCACGGGAAACACGCGGTAATTACCCAAAAAAACCCGCTCTCAAAGGCGAGACTGCGGGGCTGCCGGGACGGTTTAAGGACTGGGCTCGGCCGGGGAGACACCAACCTTCACCCTCCGCGGCCCCCAACCCAACTCCCTGCCGTCTCCCGGCGCCGCCACTTCAGGCAGCCCACTCGGCCCGGCCTCTCCCCGCGCCCGGACCACCCCCCATGGGGTGCTCTCACTGCGCAGCGAGTCCCTCCGCTGCCTCCTCCCAGCCCAAAATGGCGGCGGCGGCTACCGGGCTGCTCGTCGCCTTCCTCAAGGCTAGGGATCACTCCGCGCGTAAGCCCCTCCCCCCTCAGCCGGATCTATTTTTCTCCCTGGTAAAGACTAACGCCATCAATGAACTCTTTAATTGAGTTCTGACAGGGCGGGTCCTGTTGTGCTTCCGCACAGCTGGTTGTTGACGACAGCGAGAAGATTGGCAGACAAGTGACCCAATCAAAGAAGAGATCGGTGAGCGCGGGTCGTCCACGCAAAAGCAGATAGGTTTTTGGCGTTCCTGGGTATGGTTGTTGACGTAAGGGAGCTTGAAGGTATCCTGGGCAGCTTTGCTAGAGTGGAAGAACTACAACCCCCAGCAATCATTGCGCTGCCAGGCTGTCCTCTTCGTCGTCCGGCCCCCCCCACCTCCCCCCATCTTAGTGCCTGAGCGGCTTGGCCAGAGCTGCTGCTACTGCAGCAAGAGGTAGGGCTGAGGCGTTGAGAATTTCATGGACAGGCGGTCGCACAAGAAAGACACAGAGGTAGTGGTGTACACTAAGCCCTTGACAGCAAATAGGTCAGTCCCACCTTTGCTAAAACCTCCCTTCCATGACCATTTTCCCCTTCCAAGAAATCAATGTTTTACCCCATTTGATTTCCCCTGTCAGGTGCATGTAGTATGAAGACTTATCTTCTCCATTTCCCCGTTCCTTGAGGCAGGAGGGTAGCCGCCCAAGCCCTGTAGACAAAAAGACTTAAACCGTAGGTTCTGCCCAGGTCCCAGCCTGGAGAGGTTGAAGGCAGTCAAGCTAGGGGCTTCCAGGAGCCACAGACCCACCCCATCAACCCCCAGCTTCCCCAACCAGTTTCCTTTGCACCCGACTATGGAGGGGACAGCACTCAGGCCCTTCCTAACTGCCAGCCTGGTCTTCGCCTGTTAGAATGGAGGCCTGGGGCCTGAGGAACAGGACTGGAGAGATAGTCTCTCTGTCCCATTTGGCCTCTTGCTGTCTGGAGGCGTGTGAAAGCTAAGGTACGGAAGCAGCCTTGGAGTCTTCATTCGAAAAGCGAAGGCTGGCAGGTCTGGGCCACAAGATGGCTGCTGCTGCTGGGGCTAACAGTGCCTGACCAACCAGGTTCTGCCTGAGGACTTAGGCTTCTGTTGTTGTTCAAAGCAGGTGACACACTAATTAAAAGCATCTACTGAAAGAGTAGGAGAAGATGGCCACTCTGAACCATACCAACTGTAATACAGCGGCACCAGCTGCCCTGGAGGGGGCAAAGGTAAGTACCTACCCCTCCCAGCACCTGAAAGCCCCAAACATAGGATCCAACAGTTGAAATCCTAGTTTCTTGTTTCAAATGTGCTGGTAGATTTAGAAAACCTGTTTCTTGTTTTATCTTCTTTGTTTGTGATGAGGGTGGGGGTGGGCTTTCTGTATGTCCCCAGCTGGCCTTGAACTTGCAGCTGGATTCTTGCTTCAGCCTTACAAGTGCTGAAGTTACAGCCTGCATCACCACACCCGGCTAGAAAGCTCTGGGAAGTAGGCCAGAATGTGACTCAGTGGTATCTCATGAGTTCCTAAAAGCCCTTGAAGGTAGGAATTATTTCCAGTTGACAGAAGCTAAGGTTCTGAGAGCTGCAATACCTTTTCCAGAACCATGCAGCTATAAGCAACAAAATCCCACTTGACACTCAGTGTCTTCTGGTAAGAGAACCTTGCCTCTCACTCGGTGACAAGCAACTTCAAGGTCAAATAATTTGGTTGGATATTTGCACTTTTTTTTTTTCCAGGCTGAGAACCAAGAATGAAACAGGAAAAGAGTTTTTGGTATAAAAGTGGGGAGGCCTTAAAAGAGAGGAGAGAAAGATCTTAAAGCTCACAGTAAATGGCACCTAATGTACTGAGCAGGAGCCCGCAGGGTGCCAGCCCATGCTGTCTCTCATTGGCCCATTTTACCCATTCTCTCCTTACCCACACTGGCAAAATATCCAAGAATCAGAGAATCGTTGTGCTGTTGTTGTGGACTCTGAGGTGCTGGGCTTGAACCCAGGGCCTTGCAAATGCTAGAAAAGCACTTTACCCAGCCCCTTCTTGTTTGCTGGTTGTTTGTTCATTTTGTTCTTGAGACAGGTATTTTTTTCCTGTGTAACAACCCTGGTTGTCCTGGAACTAGCTTTGTAAACCAGGCTGGCCTCGAACTCATAGAGATTTGCCTTCCTCCACCTCCCTAGTGCTGGTATTATATGTGTGTCACAGTGTCCGGCCCAGAGAGGCTTTTGACCCACCCTACCTAGCTATTTCCATAGCATGTCAAGCCAGAAGGTTTGGAGAGGACATGTGACTCATGCAAATTATAAAGCTTATTTTTCCTTTTCGGTTTTTTTTTTTTTTTTTTTTTTTTTTTGTGAGAGACAGGGTTTCTCTGTGGCTTTGGAGCCTGGAACTAGCTCTTGTAGACCAGGCTGGTCTGGAACTCACAGAGATCTGCCTGCCTCTGCCTCCCGAGTGCTGGGACTAAAGGTGTGCGCCACCACTGCTGGCCAGAGCTTATTTTCACAGTGATAATGGCAGCAGAGGCACAGCGTGGAGACAGTAGATGAGCTGGAGGCAGAGCTGGTTTGGGGCAAGAATCACTAAGGGACTTAGGGCTGGGAGCAGGTAAATGGCTGTCAGCATGCAAGTAAGCCATCCTGTGTGTGTGCCCAGTACTTTGTCTCTCTATAATGGGTGACAGGTTCATCTCAGGTGGCCCAAGCCACCAGTAAGACAAGGCCAGTCACTTATGATTGGTGATCCTCCTGCAGGTGAAAGAATACAACAAAGAATTCATCTCCACCCCCCTGTTCCACCCCAATTCTCCTTAGGATCTCCAAAGCACATAATAAAGCAGGTAGCATGATTCTTCATATGTATGATCCCAGCACTCAGGAGGTTGAGGCAGGGTTGCTGAGGGTTGGAAACCAGCTTGGGCTGTAGAATGAGTTCAGAATGTCCTGGGCTACCAAGTGAGGCTGCCCACCAAATAATCCTCCCTCCCCCAAAACTGTATATATTCATATAATATACCCCTGCTCTTAAAAGGCTGCAAATTCCAGCACTCGGGAGGCAAAGGCAGCAGATCTCTGTGAGTTTGAGGCCAGCCTGGCCTACAAATCGAGTTCCAGGACAACCAGTATCAAAAACAAAAATAAAACCAAAAAATCAAACCAAACCAAAACAAAAAAAACTGCAGTTTTTTCCTAACGCAAAATCTCCTGCTTAGAGGCCAGCAAGATGGTTCAGTAGGTAAAATACTGAGTTCAGCCCCCAGGATCTCCAGGGTAGAAAGGGAAAACCAACTCCCACAGCTATCTTCTGACTTACACACATATACACACTCAAGCCATGCCATTAGGGTGTGTCTGTACACACACACATAATAAGTAAATGTAATAAAGCTTTACAGAGGAACCCTGCTCAGATGCCATGTGTATTGTATAAAACAGCATGCCAATGATAGTGGTTATTATTAGAAATCTCCCAAACCACAAACTTGGAGCAGTTCATTCTTTATCAGCCATACCCAGGACTCCCACCCTCACCGCACAGCTACGTTCTTGCTCCCTCCCCCTCTCCTCTCCCAAGGTCCTTGTGCGGCCCTGGCTGTACTGGAACTTGACAGGCTGGCCTTTGACTGAGAGATCGACTTTGCTTCTGTCCCGAGCTTGACAGGTTCTCTCTACTTCAGAGTTCCAAAATTTCCTTGCAACCTCTCCTTGATTAGGACCTCTTGCTGCTTCTCACATGAAGAGAGAAACAAACTCATATTTACCGAGCATAGGGGGAAATGGCACATTCTCAGTGGATGAAGATATATGATAAATAGTAATTTGCTAGGTACTCTCTGTGAGGTTACCTGTGTGATGGGATAGAGTAGCTGGGGAAGGAATGGGGGAGAGGAAGGAGAACTAACTGCTTTAGGGTCTTCATGGAGAGCACCACCTGACGAGCAACATTAGGACTGAAGCATGGGGAACAGAGAAGTGTCAGCCTTGCAAAGAGCTGACAGTAGGTTTAGTTGTATAATTTTCGGGGAGGGGCAGGGAATCCCTGTTCAAACCCTGGCCTGGTAACACAGGCCTATAATCCTAGCTATTCTAGAGGCTGAGGCAGGTGGATTATAAGTTTAGGACTTGCCTAAGTACAGAGTGAGTTCAAGTTAGTGAGATTCCATTTCAAAACAAGTTAAAGGGCTAGAATATAGCTGAGTGTCATTGCTCCTGCTGAGCATGTGTGAGACTCAGCTAGTTATAGTGTCATATACCTGTTATTGATCCCAGCTACTTGTGAGACTGAGGCAGGAGGATGGTGAGTTTGAGGTTAGCCTGGGTTACAATAGGATAGCAGAGCATTAAACCAAGTGTAGTCAGGCAGTGGTGGTGCATGCCTTTAGTCCCAGCACTCGGGAGGCAGAGGCAGGTGGATCTCTGTGAGTTCGAGACCAGCCTGGTCTATGAGAACTAGTTCCAGGACAGCCTCCAAAAGCCACAGAGAAACCCTGTCTCGAAAAACCAAAACAAACAAACAAACAAAAAAAAAAACAAGTGTAAATCTCTTCTGAATGTAGGTGCCTGTGAAGGTGTTCAGGTAGCCCAGGCTGTCCTTGAAGTCCTGATCCTCCTGCCTTACCTCCCCAAGGCTGGGATTTGCAGGTGTAGGTTATCACACCTAACTTCCCCAGCTTTCATTTTATAGCACTTGTGGAGTACCTGCTCTAGGTCTGGTGTGGCTCTGGACCTTTAACGACCAGTGATGAGCTGGGGGTGGGGAAGCAGATGGCTGCCCAGCGTTCATGAGAGCCCAGGTTTGATCCCCACCCAGCACTGCCTCAACCAGGCTTGGCGTATATCTGTAACCCAGCATTCAGGGGCTGGAGGCAGGAAGATCAGAAGTTCAAGGTCATCTTTGGTTGCACAAATGAGTTCAAAGCCAACCTGGTCTATGGAGATGTTATGTCTAAAAGAGGAGAGAGGGCTGGAGAGATGGCTCAGAGGTTAAGAGCACTGACTGCTCTTCCAGAGGTCCTGAGTTCAATTCCCAGCACCCACATGGTGGCTCACAGCCATCTGTAATGAGATCTGGTGTCCTCTTCTGGCTTGCAGACAGACATGGGGGCAGGATGTTGTATTCATAATTAATAAATAAATCTTTAAAAAAAAAGAGGAGAGAAATGACCAGTGACAGTGAAGTAGCCAGCAGAAGTGTTATGCTCCCCACTAGAAGACAGTTAACCAAGTGACTTGTAAAAGGCTGGGGGACTGGATGGTGACCACTTGAGGCAGGTGGGAGAGGGCTGGAGGGGCTGGGAAGGATCCTACTCCAGGGAAAGGCTGTCTGTGATTCACCCTCCTCCCTCTCTCTAGACCTCTGGTCCGCCGAGCCCCCAGACAGCCCATGAGCCTCATGACTTTGGCGGTTCCTTGCTTCTGCCGTCAAGAAAGGAGATTCCCTCAGAAGATGAAGGTATTGCATCGGCTGAGGTTGGCTCAGGTTGTAGCAGTAGGGGTTCTCGGAGCCAGAGCCCACGGCGCTGTTCAGTGGAGGCAGTGCTGGCCCGAAAGAAGCACCGCAGGCGGCCATCGAAGCGCAAGAGGCACTGGCGGCCTTACTTGGAGCTGAGCTGGGCTGAGAAGCAACAGCGAGATGAGAGACAGAGCCAGAGGGCCTCCCGAGTCCGCGAGGAGATGTTCGCCAAAGGCCAGCCGCTGGCACCCTACAACACTACCCAGTTCCTCATGGATGACCATGACCTGGAGGAACCTAACTTGGATGTGCTCCACGGGCTATCCCACCCAGGCTCCAGTGGCGAGAATGAAGCGGGGGACAGTGATGGGCAGGGCCGGGCTCACGGGGAATTCCAGCAGAGGGACTTCTCTGAGGCTTACGAGCGATACCACACTGAGAGCCTTCAGGGCCGCAGCAAGCAGGAGCTGGTACGCGACTACCTGGATCTAGAGCGGCGGCTGTCGCAAGCTGAGCAGGAAAGTCGGAGGCTCCAGCAGCTGCAGGCGCGCCCGAGCAGGCAGCCCTGCCAACAGGTGGAGGAGCTGGCCGCAGAGGTGGAGAGACTCCGGACTGAAAACCAGAGGCTTCGGCAGGAGAACGAGCTGTGGAACCGAGACAGCAGCTGCTGTGACCAGGAGACGCCAGCCACAGAAGGGACCCCCAGGCCCAAGGATGAGACCCCATTCTATGCCCGTGCAGGCCAGCTGGGTCACAAGGAGGCAGATGACAGATGAAAGCTGTTCCCCGCAGCCCTCCCTCCACTGAGAACTGCTAAGACAAGGTCAGAGTTTCCACTCGTCATTTCCACATCGGGTCTTTGATGTCATCTTACTTTTTACAGAGGAATTAAATATCCTTGTGAGAACCAGTGGGAGTGGCTAGACTTGATTTCACTAGGGCTCTTCGTGAAACTCAAAATTCCTTTTAATTTTAAGAACTTGTTTTTATGAGTATTTTGCTTCCATGTATGACTGTACAGCACAGGTGTGCAGTGCCAGTGAAGGCCAGAAGAGGGCACTGGATTCCCTGGGGACTGCAGTTACACACAGTTGCAGCTGCCATGTGGGTGCTGGGAACTGAACCCAGGTCCTCTAGAAGAGCAGTGTGTGCTCTTAACCACTGAGCCATCTCTTCAGCCCTCTTCATTTTCTGTAGTTTGAAAGCATTTCATATAGCTGAGGCTGACCTTGGACTTCTGATCCTCTGTTTTCACCTCCTAAGTTCTGGGATAACAAATATGCACCACTGTGCCTGGTTTTGGTTGTGCTGTGGACTCAACGCACAGCATCATGCATGCTAAGCAAGAACTCCACCAACTAAAGCACATCCCCGGTCAAAATCCTCCGGTTTGGGGCTGAAGAATTGATGGGTCAGTGGTTAAGAGACCTCACTGTTCTTTTAGAGGACTAGAATTTGGTTCACCGCACCTACAGGTGACTCACAACTGTCTGTAATTCCAGCTCCAGAGAATCTGATGCCATCTTCTGACTTCTGTGATGCATGCAAACATAGACACACACACACACACACACACATGTATGTGCATATACACACATAAATACAAAATCCTAAAAAAAAAAGAAAAAGAAAACTTGTGGGTAGGGATATAAATTAATGGTGGTGGTAGTACATTTGCCTAGCTTTCTGGAAGCACGGCGTAAGCCCATTGTCCCAGAGAGGTCTCAGTTTCTCCTTGCTCCAAGCCTGAGGAGACAGCCAACTTCTCAGTGGATTCCCTTTGGTTCTCCAGGATACCCAAACCACACTTGTGAGTCTTAGAGTGATCATCCTGAGAGAGTTGGGGGAGGTGATGACTCAGTCCAGAGCCCCCAGGTCCAGCCAGAACCTGATATTCCAGTTGCCTCATGATCATGGGGCTGGGAGCAACGCCTGTAGTTCCAGTCTTCAGGCAGGAGAATCACGAGTTTGAGGTCAGCCTTTGCTACAGAACAAGATCCTCCTTGAGCTGGAAGCATTCCTGGAAGGAGAAGGCTCAGGCCTGGAGTTTATTTAAGCCTTGTTCCCAGTATTCCTGGGCTCAGCACCCTTGATCTTGACAGCCCTTCACCCTGGCAGCTAACCTAAGCTAGTCATCAGGTTCATCCCCTTACTTCTGGGAGGGACTCAAGATCCACGCTGGCAGGGAAGCCATCAGGTAGAGGGACACCAGTGGGTCCTTAGCAGAGCTTTTCCGCTGCCTCCCTCAGCATCCTCCTCCTGTTGGCCTAATTACGTGTGTGCTCAGTTCCCTGTGCAGCGTGAGCCACAGGCCCGACTCCAGGATGCAGTGGGGGGGGGTCTGTGAAGAGAACGCTGAGCGCCTCCACCTCCAGCAGATGCCATCCCCGTGTCGTCTCTGGCTGGCACTGGGGATAACCTCAGTGGTGACAGGGGAACTTAGCTCACCAGTGAGCCCGTCTCTGGCACCAGGCACAGGGAGGAGCAGAAACCTTGAGGTCCTAGCTGACTTTCCTTTCCGGAGGTCTGGAACAACCATATCAGGCAAGAGAAGGGCTCAGGGCTGGGAACTGTTAGGGAATGTTGTTAGGAAATGTTGACAAACCCTGTGTATTGCCAGGACAACTTTTATTTCTGCACTGCCACACCCAGGTCTGGCCAGCACCTTCTACAACAGACTGGAGGGAGGGGTTGGTTTCAAGGGAAAGCAAAGTCCCAGGCCAGGGGTCTGTCCCCAGAATCCTGGTCAAAGGTTTTGCCTGCTTCTCTTGCATTTTGCATTCCCAGGCTGTTGTCAGCAGGAATGATGGTCCCCACTTTGCAGATGGGCAACCCAAGGTTCAGAGAGGAAGTGACTGTCCAGACTCTAGGATAGCTTGCTAGGAGCCTGCAGTATAGTAGCCTGGGACCCAAGGCCTGCAGTCTCCCAGCTGCTCAGCTGCTGCATTCCACAGAGCAGAGCCTGGAGTGAGCTGAGGGAGGGCCAGGACAAGGTTGTTTACCCAGAGGCAAGGCTGTGTGAAGGCTGTGTGTGTGTGTGTGTGTGTGTGTGTGTGTGTGTGTGTGTGTGTGTGTGTGTGTGTGTGTGTAACAAGGAGGGAAAGAAACGATTCCTGGATGTGGGAGGTTTGTGGAGCAGGGTGTGGGGTGGCCCATGATTGCAAGTTGCTGGGCAAGGGGCAGGTGAGGAGGCTGGCCCATCTTGGTCGAAGAGCTGAAGAGCAGAGGAGTGTGAGGAAGGGAGGAAGGCTGCCAGCCACCTCCACCCCTTACATACACACAAAATGGCTGAAGGGCTCTTGGCCAGGGTAGCACAGAGGTGAATTAATTTCCCCAGGGCTTGAGGGGGCGGGGATGACAGTGGACAGGGTGGAGGAAGATGAAAACAAAGCAAGGGTGAGATCTGGAAAGGGCCTGGCCTGAAGAAAGTCAGCTCTGGCCTCCAGCTGATTCCTCAGTCTCTGGGTCAGCCTGTGGGGGGGGGGGGAGCCATCCTGAGAGCTCGTGCTGGGGAGAGGTGAGGGGGCCAGCTGGGGAGAGGTGAGGGGGCCAGGTGTGGTCCCTTTCATGTGCCCCCCCCCATTCTCTCCTTGGCAGGCAGGTCCAAAGGCCTGGCCTCTGTCCCCGTGTACAGCACAGGCCACTTCCTCACCACCACCAGCTGGGGCAAACTGGCTTTCGGAGCAAAGCTCAGTGGCTTACTTCCCTCTGACCTCTTGATTCCTGAGCCAGGAGAGGAGAGGCCCAGAAGAAAGCAATTCCTTCATGGGACTGATTGTGGTAGCGCCCCACCATGCATGCTTGCCTGCCTAGCCGGATCTCTCTCTCTCTCTCTCTCTCTCTCTCTCTCTCTCTCTCTCTCTCTCTCTCTCTCTCTCTCTCTCTCTCTCTCTCTCTCTCTCTCTCTCTCTCTCTCTCTCTCTCTCTCGACTCTGATGCCAGATGGCAGTTTTAGTACCCATAGGTAGACCCTCTCTGCAGTGGGATCCATTGAGAAAGGTAGTAAGATGGGCATAGGTAAGGGGGCGGGTCTACAGGAAGCATCCTGCATGTAAGGAAGTAACACAGAATGGGAGAAGCTGGTTCTGTTGTCCCTCTTGAGAACAGCAAGGTTGGCACTGTCCCTTTAAGTGGGGGTGCCAGCTAGTGCCCTCCCCCAGCCAACCCAATTCATGGGCACACTGAGCATGTGCAAGATCTGTACAAGTGAGGAGGGGAGGAGGTGGGGGGGGAATAGATTCCGGAGGGAGCTTCCCACCCCCTACTTCCTGTAGCTGCTCCCACTCTCCTTCCTGGGTCTGACAAAGGAGCCTATGGTGCTTCCTCAGTCCCTCCCCCCACCCCAAACCAGGGGGCGCTGCCCTTTGGGTCTGCTGAGCTACCAAGGGTTCTGGGCAGGCCCTTTGGTCTTGGGAAGTCTCCCCAGTGCCTGGAGGTGGTGAGTGCCAGCCTGGCTTCTCTGGTGTGGGCAGTGGCCAGTCTTCTGCTGCTGAACGTGTTGGATTTCATTCCATCAGTGCCAGGTTTTTAAAGAGAACCCTGTGATGTTGCTCTGGAAATGAACACAGAGAAAAGGGTGAGGTCCCTGCCCCCACCCTCCAGGAGCTTCCAGTCAGGGATGGGAAGCAGACACCTGGGACTCTGCTCTTGCCAATTAGCCTGGTCCAGAGGGTTGTAGCCCAGCTTCCTCTACCTGCAGCCTCCAGCATCCTCCCCTGCCATGGAGAAATCTACCCCTAAGTGTCCCCACAACCTCCAGCTTGTTTCTATAGCATCCTCAGACCTCAGTTCCTCCTTTCTCCAGTCTTTGAGCTTTAGGTACCATTATCTTTTGTTAATACAAGGGGAAAGCAGGGATGTAGCTCGGTGGTAGAAGCCCTGGGTTAGATCTTCAGTACATGAGCCTGGTATAGTGGCTGATTCTTGTGAGGTTGAGAGGTCAGGGTTATCCATCTCAGTGTAAAACCTTGTCCCCAGAAACTGAAGATGGGGGTGCAGAGAGATGGCTCAGTGCTTAAGAGGGCTTGCTGCTCTTCCAGAGAACCGAATTCATGTTGAATGGGTGACAGCTAGACAGACATATTTCAGCTCCGGGAGAGTGATCCAACACCCTCTTCTGGCCCCTGTGGGTACCTGCACACATGTGCTCTCTCTCTCTCTCTCTCTCTCTCTCTCTCTCTCTCTCTCTCTCTCTCTCTCTCTCTCTGCCACACACACACACACACACACACACACACACACACACACACAGAATAAAAATGAATAAAAATACTTGGTAAATTTATATAACGTGAAATGTCCTATTCAAATGAGCAACTCAGTGGCATTTCCATTCTTAATGTATGCATCCCAGCACCCCACTACTATCTGATTCCATAAAGCTAAAACAAAGCCCTAAAGCTATTAAGCAATTATTCTCCACCCCAATCCCCCTTTTCCTAGTCAGCCCTGAAAGCCACACACCTGATTTCTGTGCCTGTGAATTTCCTCAGCCTAGATAGATTCTCACATGTCTATAGCCATGCCACTCGGAACATTTCAGTCACTTCCCCAGTACATCTAGGCAAGAGACCGGATGCCCATACCCCAAGTGTGGTCTGTTGAGGGAGGAGCACTGGGCCAGGAGTCCTCAGATCCTTGATGGATTCCAGTTGTAGCCACAGGGACAACTTTTCTTATCTGTGAGGTACAGCAATGTTTCAGCCTAGGCTGAGATCCTGGGCTCTCTTGGCAAGGACTCTGCTGCCTAACTTAGGAAATATATCCCCATATTTTATTCTCCTGGGCCTTACTGCAAGTCCAGGCAGTGAATATGGCCTCAGGGACAGTGTGATTCACTCAGTAAGGTTTGGGGTCAGTCACTTGAGATGAGGAAGCCTTAGCACAGAGAGGTTGAGAAAACTGTTGGAA